TAGCCCACATTTTACAGTTAGCAGAGAATCCTGAAAGAAATGGGCCAGGCAACCCCTCCTTTTAACAGAATTGGTTTGAAGGAAAAGTGGCTTGTTCTGAAAAATCTCAAGGCAATTAGGTTAGAATAAAATTCTCAAACTTCATTGTAGTGAGTTCTACTGTATGTTCACTTTTGGAGTGGTTGGTTGCTTTTGGGGAGGGCAGTCTTTGACTGTAATCCAGGACTTCTTTTCCCTGAGGCTTGAGAGATTTTTGAGAGTTAGAAATTGGTTAATGAAGAAAGGAGCTACTTCTTCTGTGTTCAAATAAATTTATGAAAGCTTAGCAGACTGAAGAATTGAGGGATAAGAGCTTTTGTGGTGGTGATGTTCTTTCTTTCTTCTCCAAGCCCATTAGTCCATGTTAATGATTTTTTTCCCCTCCCTTTTGTTGGGAAGAGGTGAAGAGATATTCCATCCAAATCCCAGTGGAACTCACCTTTGCCAGAGCTCATTTGGGTTTTCCTTTCTGCCAGCTAGTTTTAGGATGACCAAAAGTTACCTACATCTGATTTTCCAAAAAGCCTGTTTTCATCATTTATTTAGTTGCTAAAGGTATGGAGTATAGTTGATACCACAAATTCTGATCACCAGTTGCCAAATTGATGCTGAAAAACCTGTTTTCTAAATAAGTCAGACTGTTTCAGGCTTGTGTAGTTAAACTGCAGATAGATGTAGAATTATTTCTGCAGGTACTAATACTTCCTCTAAGTTGATCATCCTAGAAAAGGATAGTTTCAACGTATGAGGATTGGAGTCTGTTCTAGATTTCCTGTTGTGACCTCCAGCGTATCTTAAGTTAAAAACTGTATTATTAGATTTTACTATGCTTAAAGAGAAAAAGCAGTACAGCCTCACAAATCTAGGTAGAGGCATTTTAGTGTACAGAAAATTCATGCTGGTATGGCTGTTCTCTTATACTAAGGGGAGGATAAGTTACAAAGGTACAAAGCAATATCTAATTTATACCTGGCTATCAAACTGCTGTGATTATTTTTACTACCAAAACTGCCTCAGATGTGTCAAGTTAGTAGGAAGCAACAAAAGAAATTGTTTAGAATAGGCATCAAAACTCCAGTCTGTACAATAAAGCTCTCTCCCTCACAAAGCTTTGTGAGGTTTGATGTACTAAGAAGTATCCAAGGCCCTTGGATGAAAGGCCATATATACATGTAAAGTACTGTATATATATATGTATTGTGTGTATATGTATATAAGTGTATGTGTATGTATAACATATAAATATATGTTATATGTATATATATTTCTGTATATAGCTTAAACATTTTTTAAGTCCTGTAATGTATAGCTAGACAAAAGTTATGCAGATAGCACAGTAGCTCACCATATATACACACACAAGGCATTCTGATAAGCAGAGAGGGAATTTAGAATGATATATGCTGTCGTCATTGACTTGAAATATGTATGTAGCTTTATAAATAGCTTTTTTCCTCTGTATGGTATATTTAAACTATATCGAGATTTTAATAAGAAAAATGTTTATTAAAATCATACACCTCCTCTCCCTTTGACTTAAGCCCTTCTGTTAGTTCACTTAAAATGTGGTAGAGAAGAAACTAGTTAAATTCTGTAATGTTTATACTTTCTTAATAGTCTAAATCCTTAGCTGTTCACCATTGCTGAAAGAGGAGATAAAGGTAGCTACTAATAAAATGTTATGACAAACTACTAGAGTAGGTCCTAATCTGAATCTAGGGAAAACTGATACTTTAGTGCTAATTTCTGTGACTAATTCTTGGCTTTCTTTTGCTTAGCTAGCTGATCCAACACAAGGTAAATCACTCTGGTTTTGATAATTTTCCAGGAATGAAAAATGGCCAAGTGGTCTTTCCCACCTGTGTGGTTTGAAAGTGATTTTTCTTTCCTGCAAATTAGTCATTTGGTCACTGGATAACAAGCAGTGATAAAAGTATAAACTGTCAAACTTGTGAATCCAGACAAATACCCTTGCACAGCAGCATTCGGAGAGGCAAAGAAAATGAAATTTTCCTCAACTCTTAAACAATGTTTATCTTTGTATGCAATTGTGCACATCATACAGACCTGCTGTTTTTCGAAGTTTACTTCCATCCATCTGAAGAGAAGTGTGTTGTGAGCAGGGCTGCACCTCTCCGTGGGAGTTGGTGTGCAGGTGGGATAAGTTCCCAGCCACCACCAACCACCTCCTGTGTGGTTGCTTCTCAGGAGGAGCTGGAATTGAGCACAGCTCCTGGTCACCCACAACACCACGTGTATCAACCTCCTCCTTTCTTATACTTACTGCTGTACCCTAACTCCCTCTTTATAGGATCCCATAGCCTGTGGATCATGTATGTGTGTGCATCTGTAAAAGCCATTCTGAGCTGCTTCTGTGTCCGTGCTCTTTGCTTCGCTGACCTTTGGATTTTTCTGACTTCCCCTCTGTAAGGCAAACTGTGGATACCTCGCTCAGTAGCTCTGATTCCCTTCCTCTTTTCAAGCTTTGTAGGATTTGACCTTTTTTCTGAACCTTCAGTTTGCCTATTTACTCACTAGTCCGCTAAAATCAAATAGAAAATTCTGCATGTCCAGATTAACTGTATTTCAGCATGTATGCCATTAGCTTATTCTGAGGTAGAATGTGTGTCCACACATTAAAATGCGTAGGTGAATGGGTCATGTGAAAGCCTCAGTGGTTACCTGGAACTCACAGTGCTGGAAGTTTCCACATGATCTCTGTGGGGAGGGCATGAACATGCTTCACAACTGAAATGTGGCCTCCATTACAGTACAGTCATTGCTCATCAGGACTTCTGGTATCTTCTGGAGCTCTGATGGATCCTTTTCTAGTTGGAAATTACTTCTGTGGCTTTCATTAGCAGCTATTTGAGATGTGCTGAATTGAGAGGCATGGAAGGCTTTTAATTTTAATGGATTTTTTTGTGGAGCTGTCTAAGAGGATACCTTTATGTCTTGCTTGAAACACTATCCTGTGAGAGACTATTTTCCCCCTTTGTCAGTGGCTTAATATAAACATATTTTTTTGTCTGTTGTCACCACAAACTACTATTATAGTAATAGACTATTTGGTATAACAAGAGGCAGTTGGTTGTTCCAGGCATTTCAGGGCTTTTCCATATTGGTGAAACACATCAGTATCCCTTTGCCCAGTGGCAATGGCAGCTAACCAAATGAGTATGCTTGAATACTGTAGTCATGGAAACCTACTGGAAAAGAGATTGTTGCCACAACCTATGGTAAGGTTTCTCTGAAAGGAGACTGCAAGGAGACTTAAGGAAATTTTAAGCTTTAGACTGTTGAAATTATTCACAAATTGACTTTATGAGAGTGAACAGTGCTAAGCTAAAAATCAGATTTCTTTAATAACTTTAATTTATAAACGAATATTTGTCAATTTATCTGAAATGGCATTTTCATATACAAAAATAAACTTATAACCCATTTTAAAAGGCAGCTGAGTAGTCCCCCAAAAAGTAATACCTTTTGAGGGACAGTAGAAAGAGGTATTATGGTCAAAGGAGTGATGACTACATTTGCCAGGGCAGGACAGCTGCCACAGCAGTGAGGAACTGAGGGATGAATACAGCTTCACCTGTCAGGAAGCTTGTTCTAAATAGGACATTGTAGGTACAGCAGAGTAATCTGAAATCTTGCAAAATTGTGCATAATGCTGTATTTCATTTGTATGTGCTTGTCTGTATTTCAGTGTTGTGTACACAATTTAATTTTTATAAAACAAAGCTAACAAGTTGGTAGATTTTTGTGGAGGTGCGAGAACAGCCACATGCTGTTTGGTTAATCCTTTCCTTTCCAGTATTCTTTTTTTGTGCATCTTTAGGCACCATTTAAGTAGGCATTTGCTGTGCATAAGTGCAGGTGTTTAAGAAGTTATCTCCAACTACTTGAACAATTTTCTATTGCTCATTATCTTAATTTATGGTAGATCTTAATCCGTGTCAGGACAGGGCATTTCCTTATTTAGGGAATTCTGAAACAGTAGCCAGGACAATCAGATTTGGGGGCTAAGACAACTGGTAGGCAAGTCAATGTCATTTAATATGAATAGTCTGCTGTTTGTTGGTTTTGGTCCAGAAACTCATGCATCTCCTCCTTAAACCACCAGCAAACTCTGTGTTGCACACACCAATAGAATTTGTCTGTAAATAGGTCAATTTGCTTTGCTCTGTATCAGTCAGTGATCCTCTAATTGCTCTGGACAAAAAGCTGGAATCCCTGGTAGTCCGTATGCTTGATATGAGTGGAGCTGTTGTTGGATGTAAAGATTAAGCAGCTGGTATAGGTATCTCTGGGAAATAAAACTTAAAGGATGTCTCAGAAGTAACAGTACTCAGGTAACAGCAGACATTGTTGATGTGAATCCACCTTTTCTCATTTAGTGTTTGTGTGTTCCTGCTGTGCTTTTCAGTCACTTACTGCTCAGGTACGTGTTTCTGCTCCTCAGAAAACTCCATGAAAGAAAACCAGAGCTGTTCTTGTGCTTAGTCACAGATCTCCCCACGGAACTTTTCTTATCCCTTGCCCTGGTGAGGCTTGAGCGTCTCTCACAAGGCATAAAAAAGCAGGAAACAGATGCAGTTCAGAGGAGTCCAGCTGCCCTGACTCCCCCTTCGCATGCTTGGGGATGGAGACAGGGGAGGTCTCAGTCACCGTGGCAGCCAGGTGCCTTTAAAAAGAAAATACCCAAAATTCTTAAGGGCATACACTTAAAGCAGCACCGAAAGTTACCTTTTTGGAAGGCAACACCGGAATCTTTTGAAGCTCTCTCTGTTTGCAAGAAGGGAGAGAAACAAGTATCAATGGTACGTTCCCTGACGGACCCTCAGCGAGCGCCTCCAAGCGCCGCAGCTCTGTGTTTGTTATGTAATTAGTGAGGCCTCCCCGGGGGAGGAGCGGCCTTGGCCATGGCCGTTCCCCCTTCCTCCGCCGCCGCCCCTCGCCGTACGGTCCCGCCGGCCATGGGCGAGCGCCGGGGGCCGGCGGCGCTGCAGGAGGCGGCGGGCCCGGAGCGGGTAAGGCCGGGCGGGGCGGGGAGCGGGGCCGGGCCGGCCGGGGGCTCCGGAGGCGGCGCGGCGGCGGCGGCAGCGCAGCCCTGCCCGGCCGGGCCCCCGCGGCCTCTCTGCCGGGCCGGAGTCCTGCTGCTTCGGGCAGCCCTGGAAAGGGAACGGGCCCGTCCCCCCGCGCCCTTGTCTCGCCCGGGCTCGGCAGGGTCGGACCGCTCGGGCAGCGCGGCCCCGGGGAGCGCCGGCAGCACCTGCGGCGGATGCGGGCCTCCGACCGGAGGCCGCGGGCTGCTCGGTTCGGGGTCGGCAGCGCCGCCCCCACCTCCCCGGGCGTTCTGCACCTGCCGGGCCGGGAGGTAGAGTTCGTCCGGAGGCAGGTGTGGGTGTTGGTGATGTTCCTGGCTTGCCAGGCCCTGTGCACCAGGACAGTCTGCCCCTGGGAGGCGTCTGAGCTACGTTCTGGAGTCCCCCCGGTACAGCCGTGATAAGCCAGGCTGAGGTGTTCGAGGAGAAGGGATCATTATGGCAGGGAAACCCACGTGGTGTTCTGAGGCCTTGTGGCTCATCGGTACTCAAGTATCCAAAAACAGGTGTGCCATGTTAAATACAAGTGTAAGAAGCCCCTTACCGTTTCCCCCTCAACAGTGAAGTGCTGTACCCATACTGAAGAGCATGGTAGTCCTGTGATCCCCCAAGCAAGTGGGACCAGCAGGTGTTGTACTCCTCAGACACTGTGCAATGCAAGCCATCTCTTCCAGGAATGGTGATGGTCTTTCTAATCTCACTGCTGGCATGGCCTGTGCTGCCCAGGGCTGGCCTGAATGCTCTGGGAGCTCGTGGGGTGCACGTGCAGCCTCTTAATAGGGTGTGTGAGGGTTCATGGGCACATACCATTGAGTGTATGTTCCACATCACAGTGGGATTTAGCTTTTCCCTGGCTACAGCTGATGTAGGGCATGTAACTGTGATACTTGTACATGTAGGCCAGCATCTGTAGCTGTGGGGTGATGCTTGTATGTGCGTATTTATGTTAATTATTTCCCAATTTTCTGAATTTAGAATTAATGGAAAGCATTTCAGTACCCCTAAGCAGTCTTTGTTGTCCGTTTGGTTTATTGTCATCACCAGAAGAGCTTGCCTCTTGCAGTTGCAGAATAACTGGGATGTGATGTACTGGAGTGTGTCCAGCCAAGGGCTAATGATTAAGAGACTGCAGCATCTGTCATACAAAGAGAGACTGTTCAGCCTGGAGAAGACTCCAGGGGATTTTTGTGAATGTGTGAAAATAACTAGTGGAGGGAATAAAGGAGACAGAGACAGGCTCTTCTCAGTGTTGACTCATGGTGGTACTAGGGGCGTTGGTCACACATTGAAGTACAAGAAGTTGCAACTACATGTAGGAAAACACTTGTTTTCTTCTGAAAGTGGTCTGATGCTGGAACAGGTTGCTCACAGAGGTTGTGTAGTATCCATCCTTTAAGATACTGAAGCCTCATCTGGATGGGGCCCTGGGCAGTCGGCTCTGGTTGACCCTGCCTGTGCCCACCAGCTTCAGCTCTTTTATGCATTTGGGTCATGTTGTCTGAACAGAACGAAGCACGTACACATTATAAACTGGGCGCCCTTTGTCATTATGGTGAGTGTTGACTGTTTTATGCACCATCATAACATTAAGAAAAAGATCTGGCGTGCAGATTGAAGGTAGTGTTGGCCTAGTAACTTCTACCTTCTCCTGCCCCTCACACTCCTGCCAGTGCCCCTGGATCCAGCAAGGCAACGTGGGGAATGCATTGTGCTCCTTCAGCACAAGGTGGTGATTGTACAGAAGCTTCAGCAGTGATCAGAATGTGCCACGTTCTTGAAACTGAGTTGGAGAAGATAGGATTGTCTTGTAGCCACTAGCTGCTTGTCTGCCTGTAAAACTTCCTGCACCCTGAAGGTGATAAGGGAGGTGAGATACAGGTGGAGCGGGAGATTCTGTGACTGACCTTTCCTTTTTTAAAATTAAAAAAAAACTCCAAACAACCAAAACCATCTATTTAACAAAATACTGGTACATTTTTTTAAACCACAGACTAGTTAGCCTCACCTGAATCCCTGGAAAGATGATGGGACAGCTCATCCTACAGTCCATCTCTAAGTGCGTGGAAGACAAGACAGTCATCAGGAGTTAGTCATCATGGATTCGCCAAAGGAGACTTGTGCTTAACCAATCTGATTACCTTCTGTGGTGGAACAATTGGCTGAATAGACAAAGGAGAGCAGTGGACTTTGTCTACATTGGCTTTAGCCAGGCTTTTTCCAGTATCTCCCATGGTACCCTCATAGACAAGCTCAGGAAGTGTGAGCTGGATGAGTAGATGGTGAGGTGGAGTGAGCACTGGTTAAATGGCAGAGCTTGAAGGATTGTGGCCAGCATCACAAGGTCTAGTTTCAGGCCTCTCACTGGTTGTGTCCCCCAGGATTCAATTCTGGGCCCAGTATTGTTTAACTTACCCATCACTGACTTGGATGAAGGGGCAGAGGCCTCCTCAGCAAGTTCACTGATGGCACAAAGCTGAAAGGAGCAGCTGATACATGAGAGGGCTCTGCAGCCCTTCAGAAGGACCTCAGCAGACTGGAAAGATGGGGAAAGGAATTGTCTGAAATTCAGCAAAGACAAATGCAGCTCCTGTGCCTGGAGGAATAACCCTGGGGACCACTACAGGGTGGGGGTGACCTGCTGGAAAGCAGCTCTGCAGAGAAGGCTCTGGGGGTCCTGGAGGACAACAAGCTGTCTGTGAGCCAGCAGTGGCTGGGCTAATAGGGAAGACTTGCAGTATTTCCATTTTCAAGGATGTCTCTTGGTGCAGAAGAAGATGGAATTATTGGCTGGATGCCAGGCCCTGAGAAGGTGTGTGCTAAGACAAGAAGCCAAACCTGCCGACCCCAAATTCTCTCAATTCCAGAGAGTTATTATAACCATCTCTATGCCCTGGGAAGTAAAAAACATCTTTCATGGCCTTCGGCAGAGACTCTGCAAGATGATGGTGGGAAATATGTCTCATGTAATTGAGTAATATTTAAAAATAGAATAAAGTGGTAGAATTGTAAGCCAGAATGTGCTTCAACGTCATTCTGGGCATCTGGGGTATCTATGCCATCTATGCAATGTGCATGTATGTTTGGGGCTCATTTGTTTTTTAAAATGTGAATGGCATTATTTGTTTGAGATTATTTTCCAAATTGAAGTGAAGGAATGCTTTTTATTATGTGAGTAGTTACAAGCAGGCTGGTTAGGGAAAGGACTTTGGTGCCTCCGGGAAGGTAAAAATAATGGTGTTCACTCCTCTGCTGTATTATATGTAACACCTTGTAAACTGCCTCTTGTTAGTTATCCTCTAAAGCAGTGTCAGTGGGATCTTGGAACCAGTCCAGAAAGGCGTCCTGCTGGCTGAGTGTCTGATCACTGTGAGTCACCAGCCCTTCTGCAGAGCTTGCAGTGTGCTATCCTGACAGCTCTTCACAGCAGTTGTTTCTAGTAGGTGCCTGGTGACATGTCTGCAGGGATTGATCCTGGGAGCAGATGTCTCCAGCCAGAGGTGAGGTGAAAGCCCTGCTCAGAGTGCCCTCTCTGCTACTTTTCACTGGCCTGTTTCCTAAATATCAGCTGTCCCCATCTCCCCAGCTCAGCTGGGCTAGAACTCTCTGAGGAAGAGCTGTGCACAGATGTCCTCTGGGACTCCATACAGAAGGATCAGTGTGGAAATGGGTGACTCCAGGCATAGGTTTTTCTGCTGCCAACTGTGGGGAAGAGGCACGTTAGCTTCATATTGGCGCTCGAGGGAGAGCCTCCAGACCCGCTGTGTTGTGTGGGCTGCCCTCACAGACTGCGTACACAAACCTCCGTGCTGAGACTTGCTGTGGCACAGGGCTGTCCTCTGTCAGTTGGGATTAGTTGCTGTGATCTTTTGGTTTTCTTAAAGCAGACCATCCAGGTCCTAAAGGCTGAACGTAAAGCAAATGACTGTAGGTACCTGGGCAGTGAGCCTGGTGGAGCTGTGCTGGTTGCAGGCACCATGCCTTGATGTCACATGTGTCTCCCCGTGTGTGGTACCACAGTGGCTGATGTCTCCCAGAGCAGATTTCCCCCCGTGCTGCAAAAGGCTTTATCTGTGGCACACAGGTGTGGGGCACTTCCTGGCACCGGCACAGCTGGGAGGGGGTGGTTGGTGTGAGCCGTGCTGGGTAGAGCCAGGCAGACAGGCAGTGCTGCAGGGAGCACGGATGGAGGGTGAGGGGACACGTACCCCAGGGGGCCAGGTGAGTGTCTGTGTGACATGGGTGAACTTTAAACTGCACCTTTGGAATAGTGTGAGGAGGAGGAATAAATAGTGGTAACTTTAACCAGAACTGCGCTTTACTTTCAGAGCTCTTCGAGTGCTGCTGAGAATGGCTCTGACCTTGATGAAGAGCCTCTACTCAGAAAAAATCACCGCCGGTTTGTCATCTTCCCCATCCAGTACCCAGACATATGGAAGATGTATAAGCAGGCTCAGGCCTCCTTCTGGACGGCAGAAGAGGTGAGCCCTGGGCTAGTGGGCTGGCAAAAGGCAGTGAGACCACCAGAGTCCTGGTTCATCTTTCCTAGCTCTGCTGCTGGCTCCTGTGTTGCAAAGGTTGGAGTTAATTGCATCAAACATCAGGTGCCAGTACCAAAGCAGAACTCCCTTCACGAACAGTGGAAAGCAAGCTGCTTCCACAGGGTGATTCAGCAGAACTGTGTTAGGTGCTTAGTTTAGGATGACGTGGAATTGTGACCTGAGGTGCTTCTCTAGTTACAGAGAAATCCTAAGATAGATTGCTCTTATTGGTGGTCAGATAGCTCCTACCATGCTGTGGTCTCTGAACCTGCAACTAACTCCTTGCCCATGTAAGATCTCTGGGAAATTTCATGCTGTTCCTTAATATTAGGTACCTAAATTTCCAGACAGACAGTGTTAACCAGAGACACTTGCTAAAAATGCATTTAGCTGACCCCTGATTGCCCTGGTGAGGTGCTTTCCCCATGTTACAGTGCAAGGTCTAAGTTCTTCCCCAAGGTTGCTGGTTAGCTAGACCTGAGCAGTACTTGCTATGCTTACAGCAGTGCTGACCTCTGAGCACTCCTCTGCTTTGGAGGGATCACCTGCCAGGGGAGCTGGTTGTTCCAGCTCAAAGCTTATGCACCCTTTGCTCATTTGTAGGCAGTGGTCTGCAACTGCAGAGGAGTGAGGTGAAAGCACTGGCAGGCTCTAAATAGACCAGAAAGCATCATAGGATGGTGAGGAGCAGCTGCTTGTGGAGGTGGTATTTCATTACCTGCCTGGGCAGCTTGCTGCCCTGTAGCAGCAGATCTTCATTTAAACCAATAAAGAAAAAGTATTTGAACTCCTGCCTTACCAGCATTTCCTTTTTACTATGTTACTGGTTCCTTCTGATACTGTCCTGCCATCTGTGGGTCTTCTGCATTTTTCACATCTGGCTCTACTTTAGTGCTGTGTTGGTTCAGAAATCCTACAAACAAACAAAAAAGACCCATGTGAAAAAAGCTGTGGTTTCCTCTCATGGCTGGGGTTTGGTCTGATAGACAAGAGCAGTTGCTCAGCATTTGCTCCATATCATTCTTTGACAACATGGAGGCTGAATACCTGCCAAAGGCAGAAGTCCCCTCAGTCCATCTTTTGACACGCTCGGGTATAGCTTTCTTGGAGTATCAACATTTATTTAAAGTAAAGTTTCAGTGTCTCAGAATGAGCTCTGGTTACTGGTACATGTTAATACTTGTGACAAAAAGATACTAAGGCTTTTCAAAATCTTGTTAATTTATTTAGTAGACACTAATTTTTATTCCAAATTACAAAGTGTAAACTGTGAAACAAATACATGATGTTACTGTTGCAGAGAGAGACAACAGTACTGCTGTGTCTCTGTTGTCTTTTACAGTCACAAGTATTTAAATTCCCTACGTGTAAAGATTTGAAAGCAAATGCCAAAACTCTGTCTCAGTCACTTGACTGTTTTTACAGAATGACAAATCCAGAAGGACAATAATGTTTTCCTTTTTTCTTTTCATTAGGTTGATTTGTCAAAGGACCTTCCTCACTGGAACAAGCTGAAAGCAGATGAAAAATACTTTATCTCTCACGTTCTGGCATTTTTTGCAGCCAGTGATGGAATTGTAAATGAAAACCTGGTGAGAAAGACTTACAGAGGGCTTGAATAGTCATATTATTGTCTTATTAACTTTTCAACTTATTAATTTTCCATTTTGACTTTTTCATATTAATTCATAGGTTTATTAAAGGTGTATTTTTTTTCTTCCCATCTTACCTTTGTCAAGTGGAACAACCAGCTTGTTCATTTGGGAACAGTGTTTAAGTTGGGTTATCTGTGGTCATCAGGGCTCCCAATCACATCACTCTAGGACACAGCTTTTAAGTTCAGCCCCTGCTTGGCTGTGGGATGTGCATTTCTGAATGAATTAATATAACCCCATATTTTTCCTGTACTCAAGTTAATTGAAAAATAGGGAATACAGACCATGGCTGTGCCATGTATTCCTAAGGTAAAATCTTTTTGTTCTCAATGAGCGGCATCCTAGAATCTTTTAGGGTTGCAGGTGAGTGCTGCTAAAAAGGTGGGGAATTCTTCCTGTTGATATCTATTCTGGGCTGGAGAATATCTCATCACAGGTTAATAGTGGTGTCTGTCTGCAGATGCCCAGTTTAAATCTCAAATGTTTGAATGTTTCTAACATGTAGTATATATGTGAATGTATTGCATGAACATGCCTTATGTCATTCTGTTTATATTTTTAATGCTGAACAAAAAGTCTGAGGCTTTGTTCAGTACTAAGTGTTTAGTATTGCATTATTTTGCTGTTCTTCTGTGTACGTATGCCCTCACGCTTCAGCTCTTAGATGTATTTACTTCTGGCTAGCTTGCTTTATTTTCCTCTGCACCACAGCAATCCTATTGACATGTCTTTGAACAAAGTAGGATTGAACTGCTCCACTCCTGTTTCTGTAGCAGAGATCAGCTGTCTTTCCTGTTGAGCTCAGAGTAGTGTCATGCAGGACTGTTTTATTGTACTCATTGCCATGCTTTCTGGTTTTGGTAGGTGGCACGTTTTAGTCAGGAGGTGCAGATCCCAGAAGCTCGTTGTTTCTATGGCTTTCAAATTCTCATTGAGAATGTTCACTCAGAGATGTACAGCTTGCTCATAGACACCTACATCAAAGATCCCAAGAAAAGGTAAACCTCTGCTTGTGTTACAAAGCTGTGGGAAATCTGTCACTGAAGCCAGTGCCACTGTTGTAGGACAGCATGGCATCTGTCTCCTGTTTCATACTGACTTTCTGGGGGAGTTGGGGAAGGTTCCTTAAAGCTTTTGAGGCCTGCATGTCTGAAAATAGAGAAGAGTACTACTGACCAAGGCTTATTGTGGGAGTATCAGAAGGATAGTTAATATTTGTATAAATCTTTTGTTGCTGGAAGCATAGAGCATGTGAAATGTTAAAGGTTAGATGAGCTCCTTGAGGTTATTGTGCTCCTTCAGTGCTTGCTGATCAGCAAAGGATCAGCCTGAGGAAATTGAGTGCTCATGATCAAGGTGGTGTTTCTAATATAGAGCAATCAATGTTTTGTGTCCTTTCAACCTTTCTGTTGTCAGTGCTTTTTAATACAACTTGAATTGCTTATTTTTGAATGATTGATTTCACCTTTTTTGTTTGAAGAACTTCTAGTCCAAATGGTAATACATTTGAAAAGCAGCACTTTCCCTCAGAGATTCCAGCATGGTGATGGTCAGGCAGAGCTTGCTTTCCCACAGTGGCATCCTGTGTTGGTGATGGTGGGAGGACTGCAAGGTTTCCTTTCAGGTGTTCAGCATAGGAACAGAGTCTGTGCACGTGGGACTTGTCCTGTTCCTTCTGTGGAGTTGAGCAAGATGAGGTTTTTGCTCTATGGATAGACTGAAGTAGCTGGCTTCAAGAGAGAGACTGTAATCTGGTGGGTGAGCACTCCTGGGATGGGATGTTTGAGTTCACAGCTTGCCTCCCCTGAGTCCTTGGGGCTGTTTCTTTCTACACTTTTCCCTCCCTCTGCCTTTTTTATCACAGATCACATTATGGTTTAACCTGGCAGGCAACAAGCACTACACAGCAGCTCACTCATTGCCTGCCTCCACCCAGTGGGGTGGGAGAGAATCGCGGAGGAAAGTAAAACTGGTGGTTTGAGGTAAAGGCAGTTGGGTAGGACAGAAAAGGAAAATAATAATAATAATGATAATAATAATAATAGTACAAAACAAGTGATGCACATTGCAGTTGCTCACTGCCTGCTGACTGATACCCAGCTAGTTCCCAAGAAGCTAGCCAGCTTTCCCCTAGTTTATACTCTGAGCATGACTTTGTATGGAGTATCCCTTTGGCCACTTGGTGTCTGCTGTCCTGGCTGTGTCCCCTCCCAGTTTCCTGCTCCCAGGTGGGGCAGGGTTAGAAGCTGAAGAGTCCTGGACTTTGTGTAAACAGTGCTTAGCAGCAACTAAAACATCAATATGTTATCAATATAATTCTCATTCTAAATATAAAACACAGTACTGTACAAGCAACTGGGAAGAAAATGAACTCTATCCCAGACAAAAGCAGGACAGATCATCACCTCTTTGGGGTGGGAATGGTCTCTTACTTGGGTTAGTTCAGAGCCTTGCATAATGGGATCCTGGAGCTGGAAGGGACAACCAGGGCAGATTTACATAAATCACTATTTTGATGTTTTGTCTCTGTTTTCTTCTATAGGGATTTCTTATTTAATGCTATTGAAACAATGCCTTGTGTTAAGAAGAAAGCAGACTGGGCTCTGAAGTGGATTGAAGACCGAGAATCCACTTTTGGTGTGTAGCTTTTTCTATTTGTTTCTTGTTTCTACTGTGTATCACAACCTGACCTTCTGTGAGTAAGCTGCATCCCTGGAACATGAAATTAAATTCTCCAGAGATGTAGTGACTTCTGGGTCTCTGGTTTAACTAAAGAGCTAGAAGTAAGTTCTTCTTACTTGTGAGCTTGTATGTTTTTATCTTCAGCTAGAGAAATAAAATAATGGCAGTGCCCCCTGAAATCATGTTATGAAAAGTGCTCTTTTTTGTCTTTATACTGAATGACCCATACTGAATGATGTGGCTTCACTAAACAGTCAGATGGTCTTGTAGTTTGAAGAAATACATTCATGAAGAGAACATGGAGAACTGGCACCAATAATGCCTTGCTTTCCCCAAATTAAAGGTGGGATAACATGAATAGTTATTTGTGTCTTATGTTCTGTAGTCTTTCACTCTTGTAAGAATAAGGTTTTATGTAGATTCCCAACAAGAAGAAATTGTGGTATAGGGTTTTTTGTTTAATTTATAAGAAATTGGCCTTTTTCTCAGTTTTAGCTGTCAGTTACACAGCTGCTTTCCTGCCTTTCAGGAGACAGAGATAATGGAGTACTAATGTCTTGGACACTTCGGACAATTAAATTCTTTTGCTTCTGACTTGTGATGGTTTCAGTGGGTGCCCTGGTTCTTCAGTTCTACTGGGGCTCCCTGGTTCTTCAGTTCTGCTGGGGTTCCCTATGGCTGGGTGCTGTGGGGTGTGTAGACCCTGTATGTGTCACGATCTGCTGACGGATGTGGTCAGAGACAGCATCTGGTGCTGCAGAGGGGATTGCTCCTCTCCAGCACCACTCTGTCTGATGCAAATGGTTCATCTTGCTGATGAGAAATACTGCAATTTGTGTCTAACAAAAATGTGTTATGTTAAACAGGTGAGAGAGTGGTTGCCTTTGCTGCAGTGGAAGGCATCTTCTTTTCGGGTTCCTTTGCTGCTATATTTTGGCTGAAGAAGAGGGGCTTGATGCCTGGATTGACTTTCTCCAATGAACTTATTAGCAGAGATGAGGTAATGTGGCACGTCCTGCACACTGTTTGGGAAGAAAAGTGAGTTTCCCGGGGAAGGATAGAATTATATTCATGAAGAACCGATAGTCTTGACAGAGGAAGGGGAAAGAAGCAGACTTTTACCAATAATTATAGAATCATAGAATCATTTAGATTGGTAGAGACCTTTAAGATCACCGAATGAAACTGTTAACCTGCCACTGCCAAGTCCACCCCTAAACCAAGTCCCTAAGTGCCACATTCCCATGTCTTTTAAATACCTTCAGTCATGGTGACTCAACTGCTTCCCTGGACAGACTATTCTAATGCTTGACAGCAATTTCCTTGAAGTTTTTTGTGATATCCAATGTAATCCCCTGTTTGATGCAACTTTAGGCTATTTCCTCTTGTCCTGTTGCTTGGGAGAAGAGACTGACCCACACCTCACCACAAGCTTCTCTCAGGTAGTTGTAGAGAGCTCAGGTCTCCCCTGAGCCTCCTTTCCTTCAGCTTAAACACTCCCACTTCCCTCAGCAAATCCTCATAAGACTGGTGCTCCATACCCTTCACTAGCTTTGTTGCTCTTCCCTGGACACGCTAGAGCACCGCAAAAAGATGGATTTTTTAGATTGAAGGGGATGTTTGTTTTCCTGTCCTGTGAAGGGAGGGAAAGGCCCAGCTGCTCAAGAAGTGAAGTGGGGTGGAATTGCATGGTCCCCAGCTGCAGGGGGGCCTGTCTGTAGCAAGAATGTGGATAATGTGTGACTCTTGAAATTTACTGTGCCTCAGCTTCTTCAGGCAGGTTCAGGTGGGGTCCAAATAGCACTCCCCACCTCCTCCTGGTTGTGGGTCACAGAGCTTGCAGACAGCCACCTCCATCCATCACTGAGGCAGCTGTGGCAGGTTGCTGCAGAAGCATGAGATACCAGTCCTCTCCATGATCTTGTGTTGCTGCACAGCAATAGCATCTCCTGGGAGGGGGCAATTACAGATCTGCCTTTGAGGGGAGTGCTTCTTAACTTGTGTCTGAGGGGCTGCATGTCATCACACCAAATATGACAGACCATGTGCTTACAAGTGCCCCTTTTCACTGCTTCCTTCCTTTCTTTCTTCTTCCTTTCCTTGCTCCCTGCAAGTTGACAGCTGTTGTTTATGGCTGGGGACTGTGCACTGCACTACTTAGGTAGCTGTCAGCACTGAAAAAGTAGAAAGACCAGTTTTGTATGCAGTATAAACATGCTAATGGTTGTAATTTAGCAGAGTTGGTCTTAATGTATAAAGAGCTTTTTTATAATGGAAGTAATTTTCATGGGTTAGATAAATTGCTTTGAAATGAGATATCTTAAAATATGTCTTTAAAAGACACTTTTGAAAAAAGTGATATGATGAGTAAGGAAAAACAAATAGTTCTTCAGCCTTTACCTTCCTTGTGTCTTCTGTGAGTCATCATGAACTGATCCATTTGAGCGAGGCAGAATTACTTACAGCTGAGTATAACTACTCTGCAGAGTTGAGCACCAGAAGATGAAAATTTTCTTGAGCTCTGCTGGCATAGTTCCAACTGCAGTGCTGTTATGAAGGTTAAAGCTTGGTGCACAGAGCACCTGCATTGAAACCCAGTAGCAGTAAAAAGAATCCACAGTGGAAAACTACAAACTGTTTTTTGGTGCACCTGGACAGATAACTGATTAACACTCAGTGTGTTTTTTGAGCTGCTGGCTCTGTTCCCAGGCTCTTCTTGAGCTGGTGCATCTCTGATACTTAAAGGTGCAAAGCTGGTGGGATCACCAGTCAGCAGAGCACACCAGTTCATGGGAGAAGCCAGGCATGTCCTGCATCCTGCTGGTAGTGTTGCCCTGGATAAGACCATGGGAAACCTTGCAGCAGGCAGCTAGTGCAGTTGGTCACTAGAGGGGGGATATTTCACAAATTATGTTATTTCAGGGCTGTTTCATGACCTTAATCACAAGGATTATGTAGCCTCTCCAAAATGGTTTTCACAGAATCACTGAATTGTAAGGGTTGGAAGGGTTCTCTGGAAATTGTCTAGTCCAACTGCCCTGCCAAGCAGGGTCACCTGAAGCAGGTGACACAGGAACATGTCCAGGTGCATTTGGAATGTGTCCAGAGAGGGTGACTCCGCAATCACCCTGGGCAGCCTGTTCCAGTGCTCTGTCACACTCGACAAAGTTCTTCCTCATGTTGATGTTGAGGTGAAACTTCTTGTGTTTTAGTTTGCAGCCATTGCTCCTCATCTTGATGCTGGGCACCACTGAAAAGAGTTTGGAACCATCCTCTTGGCACCTGCTTGTCCTGGCTTCAGCCAAAGAGAGTTAATTTTTTGTAGTTGCTGTGAGGGTGTGGAGCCTGGAGCTGTGTGGGCATGCTAAGACCATAAGATGTTGTTGGGTACCATCTCAGGTCATTGACAGGGGTGGGGAAAAGGGACTCTCTCGTCCTTTTGAGAAGAAGGTTGTTCCTTCCAGTGGGAAAAAATGTAATTGGGAAGAGCAGGTGGGTATTTGTCATGGGCTTTCCATATAAATAACTTCTTTGTCTTATACATTTTGTTGTTCATATTGCTGTTACTGTTCCTTTTGTTACCTCATTGTTTTTTCCAGTCCCATGATTTTCACCTTTTGTGCCTCCATCCGCAAAGCAGGAAAGGGCAAGGGGAAGCTGGGGGTGTCTTGGTGGGGGCAGGGAGCAAGCAGGTGGCATCTGGTTTGGGAGTGTCTTGGTAGGGGCACTGAACTGGTGAGTGCCATTCCTAAACCACGACACCACCTTTGAGATAATTATATGCATTAATGAGATCCCCTCTCAGTGTTCTCTTCTCCAGACTAAAAAGGCCCAGCTCCTGCAGTCTCTCCTCATAATAAAGACACTCCAGACCTCTCATAATTTTTATGACCGCTGCTGGACCCTCTCCAGTAGCTCCTTGTCTCTTTTGTATTGAGGACCCAGAACTTGACACAGCAGTCCAGATGTGATGTCACCAGGGATGGGCAGAGGGAGAGGATCACTTCCCTTGACCTGCTGGCCACGCTCTTCCTAATGTACCCCAAGATACCCCTGGCCCTTCTGGTCACAAGGGCACTGCTGGCTCAGTCAGCTTGTTACCCACTGAGACTCCGAGGTCTTTTGCGGCAGAACAGCTCTCCAGTAGGTCAGCCCCCAGGTTTTGTTTTGACACTTGCTAATGATAATTTTGGATAGTCTGGTAGCCCATAGTCTGCCAGATTCTTTCTGATTAGTTTTCACTCTGGGTGTGCCCTCTTGGTGTTTATTGGCTGTAACCACCACCTTGCAGTTGAGAGATGGTAGCACAATGCTCCTTCAGTCTGGCAGTAGTGGGTATGGATGAAGCAAGACCATCAAGCTGTACCCAGGCAAGTCAAAGAGAAGCTGAAGTGCCTCTTGGAGCAGCTCTCTGGGGCTGCTTGTCTCCTGATGTTTTCTTACCTTGGGAAACTTTTCTGGAAATCCTGGAAAGGAGCACAGTTTACAAGGCTCTGTGTAGGATAGCTGGGTGAAGTGAGAAGGGGAGTTTAGCTGGGGCAGAGATGATTTGTTAATCATGGGTTTGGTGACTTCAATCTGAATCTGCCTTTCTGAAAATGCTGTTGGGAGAAGCAAGGGAAGAAATGCTACTGAAGGAATTTAAATCAAGTATCTCAAAGAGCAGGTAAACAGCCTGTTTTGACTCACAAGTAGTTTTGCAGGTCTTGATGTAGAAGTCTTTCAGCAAAATCTTTCCTGACAGGAGGCAGAGACCAGCAAGGCTCTGTGTAGGATCACTAACAGTAGAGAGGAGTCCTCAGAAAAATTTTTCCTGAGAAAGGTGTATGCTGAACATTATTTTGGTATAGTGGCATGTGTTAGATTTGAGATGTTACTGGGCTGTAAACTACAAGTCCACACTACATGTGATAACATTAAGACTTTCATAAAAGCAGGAGGCTGGGAAACTTCAATGCAAATGAGACTACCTGAAAATAAGAGCGAACTATGTGGAAGATGGGAAAACTGACTGTTTTTTTCATTGTTCTCTGATTTCAGGGTCTACACTGTGATTTTGCTTGTCTAATGTTCCATTATTTAGTGAACAGACCGTCAGAAGAGCGAGTCCGTGAGATCATCGTTAATGCTGTAGAAATTGAGCAGGTAATCCTGGCTGTGACCACACTGTGGGCAGCACGGGCCCAGTCTGAGGTGTGAAAATAAACAAATTAACTTCTAACTTTCAGGATTGATACTTGGCTCAGGGTTGATCCCTGATGCATTATACCATTCTTTCCCTCTTCCTTAATGGTGACAATAAGAGTCAGAGACTTTCTGTTTCAGTTGTCAAGCAACAGGGGGGAGGTAAAGCTGGCAGCTGGTTTTCTCCTTAATGACAGAAAGGAAGAAAAGCTGTCTTACTTGATATTGAATAGAATAATTTCACTTGTAAGGGACCTACAATAATCATCTAGTCCAGTTGCAGCTGTCTCTCAGAGGGGAGTTTGTTTACATCTGTCCTTTCAGGATCTTTGTCTCTCCCTATTGTATTCACATCTCTGCTTGTCCTCAGGAGAAGGCAGGCTCTGTTCTGGCCATGAGTATCATGTCTTCTGGCTTTTCCTGAGGTTGATGTCAGGTTCTTTCACATGAAGTGCCACCCTTCTGCAGACACAAGTTTCTGCATGGCTGAGTGTTTGGCAGGATTTTAGTTTAGTTTTCTTTCCTGTTGTTATCTAACTACTGTGATGATGACAAATGCTCACAACACTGACAGGTATGCAGTGGTGCCTAAACATACACATGACTGGGTTCAGCACTCATATATTTCATTGTCCTCTGATCTATCATTCTATATTGGCTGGAAGCCAGGAAAACCAGTTATTTATTGATCTATTCCTGCTCCCACAAGTATGGTCCGTAGGTTTATTGAAGCTGGAGCTTAAGCTGACACTGAAGCTTACACTGGGGCATTGAAGAAAGGCAGATTAGAGGGGCAGTGATAAAAATCTTGTGCCTTTTCCAGAATAACAGGCTAAAAATAAAGGAGGTTACTGAAAACAGAAGATATTTGTTGAATTTAGTGATGCAAGTTATTTATTCAGACAATTTCCTGGGGAGCCTGGAATATCACAAAGTATGTTACGGTGAAACACAGGTGTCTTCTCTCCTTTTTCTTCTTAAATTTCATTTCTGTAAAGGTCATCTGTATTTTAACTTCTAGGAGTTTCTAACTGAGGCGTTACCTGTGGGTCTGATTGGAATGAATTGCACCTTGATGAAACAATACATTGAATTTGTTGCAGACAGGTTACTAATGGAGCTTGGGTTCTCAAAGGTAAGAGATGCAATTGCCCCAAATGCTGGCCTGCCAGTGCAGCCCAGAACTGCCAGCACAAAGCACTCCCTTGTCGTGCTGGGGAGCAGGTCATATTTAGCACATGGACTTCCTCTGAGTGACAGCTGAAACCACAGCATTCATACCTATGCTTCACTGTAAAAGGGCAAGAACAATTTAGGCCTTTGTTTCCCTTCAGCTGCTCAGCTCAGTTTGTAATGGGAAACGTAAGCTGTGCTCAGATGCTGCAGTGTTGAAGAATAAACAAGCACCTTGCAAAAGTGAACTTCACCACAGACCAAACTCCTGGGAGTGGCAGTACTGAATTTACTTAGATAGATGTCCATAGATCCTACAGGGTATTGCAGCCAGAGGTGGTCTAGTTTGAAAGCATTTGACAGTTTTGTTTGTTATGGGCTTTTTAAAGCATTATTTCCCTGTCAGAACCACCAGTGTGTTTTCCTTCCCCAGGTCTTTCATGCAGAAAATCCTTTTGATTTCATGGAGAATATTTCTCTGGAAGGAAAAACAAATTTCTTTGAGAAGCGGGTTTCGGAATATCAACGTTTTGCTGTCATGGCAGAAACAATGGACAATGTCTTCACTCTGGATGCAGATTTTTGACAAAGTGGCAAATGAATGGTGACTGTTTCCCTCTCCTTATCTCCCTTTATGCTGTGAAATTAATTAATTTCTTCTAATTTCTTCTTGTGGAAATCAGAGTCTACTGGGATATTTTTCCTGGGTTTTCATGTTGTTTGTCAGAGGAGTAAATATATTTCTCTCTGTGTAATTTGAAAAAAAAAAGGGGCATCATCTGTAAAAAATGTATATGGCTTTGTAGAAGGATGACCTTTTTAAGATTCCCTTGACTCGTCTGCTGTCAATGATGTCTTTAAAGATGACATGGATAGTGTCACATGTCACAAACGTGGATGTTTGTTTAAGAAACAAACTGCATATTTACCTCATGTTATGGTATTTTAATATGAAAACCAGATGAGGTATCACTCCACATAAAAACATCACTATAAATTATTTTCCTGTTTTCTGTTTCATGTTTGTAGGTTTGGTCTGTTTGGTAGTTTTGGAGTAAAAGCTCTTCTGTTTCATCCTGTTGCAGATACAGTAATAGTTGAACGTGAGAAGACCTTAATGAGGTCTGACCTATAGAATATTATTAAACCCAGGAGTTAAGTGTAATCTCCCCATTAACCTAGGTTCTGTCTGAAACAATTTTTATTCTGGTTGGAAAACTGATGGGTCTTGGTAGGCATGTAATTCAAATACATGTAATTCTTGTCTTACAGCTGTTACTGAACAGGTCAGTGGCCTTTGAACAATTCTTGAAAAGGCACACCTGTTAACAGTGGAGAAAAAACACATCCTGTAGTTCTTTGGCTTCTGCTGCCTGTTTTTTCTTGCTTCACTGATCAAGTGCCTTATTAAGTAGTCTGTAATTCTGTTTGTAATCACTTGACACTGAAACAGCCAGCTCTGGGTGTTGTCCATCTCCCCCTTTTGTGCTGGGTGGTTTGATATTCTCCCCTTCTTGGTTGTACTTGTGCATTGAAGGGGTGAGAAGACATGTCATTCCAAGGGATTATTCCTTGAGGTGCTACAAACAGACTACTCGAGATGTAAGGAAGCACCCAATAACGTATGAAGGTACATCAGGTTGTGTGTTTGATGTGAACCATTGGAACCATTGTTACAGAACAGCTTCTGAAAGAAGGTATTAAACATTTCAAAAACAAGCCCAGAAGTAGTATGGAGTAGCAGCATCTTACAAAGGACTGTTGTTTGGTTTTTGATTGTGTGCCTGAAGACTGTTTGTAATTTTTTGATATCACGTGCAGAGAATGGAGGGATTGAGGAGTGGCTAACATGCTGCAGTGGTACTTGGGGTAGAAGACATGCTATTTAGCTGTACCTGGTTTATCTGCAAATAGATGGGCTCTTTTTTTTTCCAAGATGAAGTGAGTGTACAAGAGCTAGACAAAGGGTTCCACTTTATTAAACCCAAGCATTTTTCATAATTTTCAGCATTTTGTGAAAGTGCTTTTGTAAGTCTTAATATTGCAAACATTTTGTGCTGCTTTTGATACATCTGGCATGAGCCAAACTGACAGCCCAGGGTTATCAGTGATGGGGTGGTGTAAGTGTTATTTCCCTGCCAGCCCAGATCAGCCATCATCCTGGGTACCTGAGTTCCATGAAACAGGTCCACTGCCTTAGCACTTAATTCCTAGTGGACAACTCCCTGCTGTAAAAATAAACAGCAAAATTGACTTAGTTTTTCTTAGTCTCTTTAAAAGATCAGGAGTATGTACTGACCATGGAAATGGAACAGCTTATTTTTTCCTGGAGAAGAGGATCCTGCATCATTTGTATGAGTTACTTGGAAGAGGGCACAGAGAAAAGCTGGAACTGCAGGAGAATTGTGAACTCAGAGGGAAAACCCAGCACCTTTTGGAAACATTGAGCTGATAGGGGAGAAAGTGAAAATATTGTAAATCGATCTGCTGTTGGAGTAATGGAACCTATTATGTCACTGAAAGTACTAAAAAGCTTTTATTTTGAGTCATGAATGATGAGAATATAGAGAGTATTCTAATATGAAACTGCAATGTGCTCAGGTTCTGTAAATGTATATGAGATACCAAAGTCTGGTACATCGGCTCCCACTCAATTTGTGTGTAAAATATGTGTGTAGTTTCAATAAAATTTGAGTGTGGGGAAGCCCATGCCTTCATTTACAAGTTACATGCTTCCTTGTGAAATCTAAAGTGATAAAATTGGGATGTGGCAGAGTAAGTCAGTATTCACAGCTTTTGGGCTGTGGGAGAAAGTTATGAGTGCTCCCTATATTGTCTTGCACTAATTTGGAGCTCTTGACTTGCTCTTTCTTGTTCCTGGAAATAGGTTTTGCAATCTAGTGAGCAAACAAGTGGGTTTGGTGGTTGGTTGGTTGGTTGGTTTGTTTTTAATTGGGATTTTCTGGCACAAGGAGAAGTATTTTGGGAGTCTATAAGACTCAATGAAGAAATGCTCCAAAAATATATTGTCAGTGTGCGGTACCCAATATATCAAGGGCATCATGCTCTTGGGGCGGGCACCCTGACTGCCTGGGCACAGCATTATGGGCTGCAGGCCCTGAGCTGGGCCAGCCAGGCACCTGCCTGAAGCCAAGTGCTGGTCACCTGGGTGTGGGCTGGCACAGCTTCACACCTGCTTGTGTATGCGCTCTCAGGGCTGCCATTTCAAGTCTTGTTCCTGCAGCCCCTTTGTTCCTCCTTGAGACAGGCATGAAGGTGCCTTCTTCCACTGGTGCTGGGCACGGGGCAGAACCCAATGAGCCTCTGAGGGCTCCGTGTGTCTCATGCTGTGGCCATCAGGCTTAAAAAAGCCTGATGGGTGTGTGTGTGGGAGAGAAGGTGCGAAGCATCCCTTCGGTGTACGTGGTCTGGGTTGGAATAAGGCTGCTGTGTGACGTCGCTGTAGCCAGTGTGACAGAGAAGGTGCTTCCTGGAGGTGTTTGTCTCGTGATGAAGAACGTATCTGCAAGGGTCAGATGAGTAGAAACCTCTCTCTGGGGGCTGCAATAGGAGCTGAGGCTCATGGGAAGAATCGCTCCTTTTAAATTCCAAAGTGGCCTCTGTAGTTCCCAGTGTTCCCATTCAAGCAGACGTGTGCCTCCTGCAAATCCCATGAGTTGGTTATCAGTAGCCACAAGCAGACATCGTGCTCCCAACGCTGTGCTCTGCCTGTGAAACCACTGCAGAGTGCAGTAGGTCAGTGAGTATTCCCAGCCCGTGTTGGGAAATAAAAGTGGGTGAAAGCAGGGCAGCTAGCAATCTCTTTCTTAGTGTTTTTGGACTGGAATTTTTTGCAGCAGGTGAGGATGCTGCCTGTGTGGCAGCACCCACAGAACTGCGGCCAGCCCCTGGCCAGCTGACATGCTGATCCATTTCCACCACATTTCTTATCCTTGTCTTTGAATGATGAAAGCTTTGAAAGAGCAGGCGTGGCCTCCCTGCCAGTCACCCAGGCTGCCAGAGGAGCATCTTCCTTCTAGCCTTCCTAAGGGGATGATCTGGGCTGGTTTTTCCTCCTGGTGGAGCCCTTGAGTCAGCAAATATTAATGTTTCTGTCACTATTATCTAGAGCTCCTTCTAGGACTCAGTCACTGGCGCTGCTGATGTGTTAATATTTCATGTAGCTGAGTTTGTTTTTGCTGGGAGGATGCTTGTGTGCCTTCAGGAATGTTCCTGTGTGCATACAGACTCCGTGATTGTGCATACGGGGATATGCGTCTGGCACACAGGCGTGTGCGTACACACCACACGCACCAGCAGAGCCGAGGGGAAAAGCTGTTGAATGTCAGCTTTTAGCAAACTCTCCCTGGAGCAGAAGGGCAGGGTGGACACTGTAACATTGCTATTAAGAGATGCTATTCCTGGCTTGCCAAAGCTGCTGCCTTGCCCTGCTTCCTGTGGCCTGGGCACAGATGGGCAGTGGTCCCATCCCATCGTACATGATCTGGTTCTAGGAGCCAGGGCTGCCCTGAGGATAGAACTGTGCTCTGCTCACTTTAGCTAAAGTTTTTTCAGTTTGAAATGCAGGTAAATGTCAGGAATGGCTGCTTTTGGCCAGTGTGGAGCACTCATTTCTGCTTTGAACAGTAACTTTGGCATTTGGCTGTTTGAATGTACTCACGTGGACAGGCTGGGGAATTCCCTGATGAATTTTGACCCTTCAAGTGAAGTAAAGGGATTTGTAAGTGACAGACAAAAGATTTCCATGACAGGCAGCAGTGCTGCCGATATCACAGCTTCTTGTGGAGTGCTGCTGAGCAGGGGCTCCTGCCCTGCAGATCCTTCTTACAAATATGCTTGAAGGGCTTACCTGGGAAATGTCCTCCTCCTTCTATTGCTTTGGCAGCACCATTCATCACTGCATTGGCTATAGTGTGGCTGCTGATGGGCTCACAGGAACAAATCTGTATCATCAATCCCTTTTTGTGCTGTAGTCCGCTGTTTGGTTACTGTTACCCTGGGAATGGCCTCCCATAGCTGCTGCAGCATCTCTAGTGAGATTGTAGGAGAGCTGCCACAGAGAACTGCATGGACCAGCCTGGCATTAAGGGTGAGGTGTTGACACCTACCATGAGAACAGGCCATCTTAGGGGCTTGTTTCAAGGCCTTGTCTGTTCCTTTAGGAAATGCCTCTTGCTGCAGAGGCAGGGGGAGGTCCTCACCAGCATATTATGAAAAAAGATCAACAGACTGATGAAAAGTTATTTTAGGTTCATAGGTGACTTCACCAGCAGGGACTGACTTTGGATTCTGTCCCTCTGGTGCCTAGTGAATGTCAGAAAAAAATTTGTGCCAGCACAATGACAGCTGGATGTGATCTGCTCAAAGGCTCGAAATCCCTGAAAGTCTCTCCTAAATCTCTCATGCTACTCCTACTCCTACTGAAATGAAGCCACTGGGATGCTGTGAGCAGCTCTGCTGGTTGCTGCTCTGCCCACTCAGTGTGATGGCTGGCAGGGTGCTGCTGTGCCCTTTCAGCTGCAGCTCAGGCTGAAGTCCTGCCTGGCTTGGCCTTGGCTCTTGCTGATCCCAGTGTGCAGTGGCAGTGCCAGAGGAAAGGCTGCAGTGAAGCACTGGCCTGTCAGACTGGGGCAGATGCTGACCACAACCATGTTTGCTTGCCCCAGCCAGGACTCAGAGGGGGCTGCCCACTCATGAGGCTGGTGTGGTTTTTACAAGCCCCTCAAACAAGGTCCTCTTTTAGGTCATCCATAAGTTACTTCTTTTAGTGGTGAGGCTCCCAAAATCACACTGGGGGCTCTGGGTGGAACAGAGGAGTTGGTGGCATTTTGTTTTCTTGTCAATTGGCAGATCCAACAGAAGTGTTAAGAACAAGTCTCAACATCCAAATTCTTTTTACTGATCTGACAAAAGCCTCTGGTAGTGCAGCCTAAGCTGAACTTGAGAGCTTCAGGGAAAGTCTGCCTCCTTATCACTATTCCTTAGCCCACAGACATGATTCTGGAAAGATTATACTTGGGTTGTTTTATGAGGAAATCCTTTTCACAGCTGGTGGCCTTGCCATGCAGGAGGTTGTCCAGGCTCTGCACCTGTGCTGTGTCTGCAGGCCTGTTACCTAGCAGCCTGTCCAGGGCCCACTGTGTGCTGATGATGGCCACCACTGCTGGCCTCTGCCATGGGCTGTCTCCAGCATGGGATGGGCTGTCTGCTGCTTCACAGGTGGTTTTCAGAGATTAATTGAAGGCAGACTGCAGTGGCACATCAGCCACCTCCTGAGACTGAGACCACTCAGGGAAGGGCTGGGGAATTCTGAAGGCAGTGATGTGCCTTGGGTAGGAAGAGTATGACAAGCAAAAAATGTGCTGGTGGCAGTGGGAGTGACAGCCCATTCACTCCTCATTGCTTAGATGCCAGCAGCAGTGCCACAAAAGTGATCATCATACACAGAATTCGTGTGGTCACTCATATCCTGCAAAAGCTTTTAGAGTTGTTAGTGCAAGCATTTCTGCCCTGTGAGATGAGGCTTGCATTTCAGGTATTGATTTCTTTTTTCTTTCAGTTTGAAGGGAAATAGAGTTAGATTACAGCTTATTAGACTGACTGGAGAACTGACTGCTTTTATTAAATTACTTCATTCGCAGTGTGTGAAATTGCTGGCTTCAGAGACAGGTGTTACGATAAGCCTTGACAGAGCTGCCTTGTTCCTTGCTCAGTCATCCCTCTGTCTCCTGCTTAGTCATCCCTCTGTGGGCTGATGGGATGGTGTCTGGAGGGGTCCTACAGCCACTACCATATGTGCCTCATTTTTGGATTAACATCATCATGGAAAAAAAGCGTTACTTGGTTAATTTCTCCAAGATTCCTGTTGTTAGAAGCCCCTTCCATGAAGCTGGTCCTGTTTGCTTAATTCCTTGTATAGCAGAGCAGGGTGTAAAGCCAAAAAATATTTTCCCAGTTTCTCCCACACTGTGCAGGGTTTGAGAACTGAGTGAGGATGCCTTTGGGCACCTTTGAAAGGACAGCAGCTGGCCAATGCCACAAGCCCTGCACCGAGGCAGAGGGACAAGGTGATGAGCCTTCCTCCTTGTAACCCCCAGTCCTCTTGGGCTATAAGGCTGTAAGGCAGTGTCCCCAGCCATGGGATGCACATCCTGCATCTGGTGCAGGGAGGATGTTTTATGGCTCTTGGTATGCTGTTGAGGCCAGACAAACTCATGGGGAAACATTGCATGCTGCTGAGATAAATGCAGGGATTCTCACAGTAGGACATGGCCTACTGCAGTGCCTGTTTGCAACGCTAGGTCACTGGATAAGAATTCCTCTGTATAATTAAAAAAATAATTGTATTTTTAGCTGTCTTGATTTTTAATTTTTCTTTCCCCTGCTCGCTGCCCCCTACCCCTCCTGGCTGATTTTATTCACCCTAGGCAAATTAGATTTGCATACTTAAAAAAACATGAGGTTCTTGAAAGGTGTGTTAAAGTTCTTCTGTTACTTAGAATATTAACCTACATTTACTCTTGGTGCTGCTGTACTTTGTGGTATGATACCTGCATAAACAAAACTTTCTCTTCCACACCCATTAGGTGGAAGTAGCAGTATTGGCACATGCTGACTGTATTATAAACTCAAATGATGTTATCCAAAGCCCATAAAAAGAGACCAATTGCTGCCACTTGTGTT